AAAAAAATGTTCTAATTTATAGATAAGTTTCAAGCTCAAAATGTACAGAGAGGGTAAATATACTTATTAAACAAACTACTTTTATTTTGATGGTCAGTGACCTAGGCCCATATTTGATTTAGTTGAAATAATGCATTCACATTTGTATGTTTGTTTTTCTCATCCAGAGAATTTATTTCTAAATTTTTTTTTATTTTTAATCCAGGTATAGGGAGGAGAAAGACAGCAGTAAGTGGTTTTCTGTGACCAGGTTTCTGTAACAAACACATTGTCTAATCTGAATGGATATGCCAGTATTCCCCATGATTATTTTATTCCTTGTAATCAGAACTGATAAGTCATCCTGTGAAATTTTGTTATTCATAATGCTGGTTTATTAACACTCTCTCAATACTTCTTTACTTTGATTTAAAGAAAATATTTATTTTCTTCATGCAGTGAGGCATCTTTTTTCAAAATGAACCTCAAAACTGATACTGATATTCACACGAAATAGCAAAGAGCCTCTAGCAATAATAAAATGCAATAAATATTTCGCATAAATTAAAAATTCACATTGCATATATGAAATTATCAAAATTACAAAGAGATAAAGGCATCTTCATTGTTTTAAATAATCCTTTTAGACTAAATTCATAGGATAGTACTAAAAAAACAAGATAATACAAAAATCAGGCAGTTTCTTTTTTCTCTCTTGCTTGTAGCTTGAGAAGCAAGAACATAAGAATGATTCATATTATTACTGCCCTAATGTTCTAATTCAATTTTCTCTCTCTCGTCTAAAAAGCACTCACCATTTCTGGCGATGATAACTGAAAGGTATTCTTTGTAAAAGGAGCTTGTGTAAAGCAGTAAGCTTGGTGTTCGTGTTGTTCTGAAGCTAAATTTGATCATTTCTCTACTCATCTTCTTATCACCATGAAATGAAGCAGCGTGGGAGCTGGAGTTTTTACTTAAGGAATAATTTTCTTGAAAATTGTAAATCACGGATGAGCCAGATCCAAAATATGCAGAAATCTCTGAAATGACACGCACAATTTATATTAAAGAATTTAAGTATAAGGATCTTGTTTCAGTTGTATTAACTGATATCTTCTTTAAAAATAATGAATTGCACAGATACAAGCAGCAGCCTTAACCTAGAAGTGAATAACAGAGTAAATTAGTAGAGCTTTCATAATGACCCTTGAAATGACTTTGTGTTAGAATAACATATAATTAATTCACTAATATAACTTACATTTTCTTATGAAGAAGTGATCTTATTTCTAGCTTTAAATATAAAAAGCCTCCCAGAACGGTACTAGCAGTGTGTGATTATTATCACAAGTTGGTTTTTAAATTATAGCTTATTCCTGACAAAAGCAGATAACTTGAAAAGTACATTTTTGCCAACTCTTCATTAACTGATCCCAATACTTCCTTTGAAAATCAGGAATTGATTTAATTTGGAGCCAATTTTTGTTAGCCTCCTTCAGTAACCCAGAGACACTTAAATAAAGTAATTGGATTTATAGCAGATGCCAGTTTTTTATGAGAAACTATCAAAGTATAATACATGTTTGTATATCAGAGGAGTCTTTTCAGAACACTAAATACAACACTTTCCTTTTGCCATGACATAGACCAGTGAATAAGAGAAGCTAAAAAAATTCTGCTATTTTATTTTGCTAGCAGATATTCAACATACCATACTGTAAAGCATCTGAGTGTTTCTATTTTGTTATGCATCAATGTTTACTGGAATAGTTATTTATACTGCTGGCCAAAATATTTGTTTGGCCAAAAAACCAAACAACCAAACAAAAATAATGCTTTATAAACCCCCTTGAATTGCTAAACATCTTTACCAAAAATAATGACAATGCCTTTAATGATTTTAACATAGAGAACTGCCCCATGGGACAGGTTGTTGACAGCCATATTATTTAACATCCTCAACATTAGAGAAAAGAAAGGAGATTGAGCAGCTAACACTTTAAGACACCTAGAGGCGACTATTAGTAGATCTATTAGCAACAGACACTACTTTTTCAAGAATTGAATCAACTAAAGATTAAATATTTTGCAAAATAAATTCAGCAATGGAAATACTTTTGTTTCAAACAGCTACACAGAAAAGAACTGCCAGAAGTTTTGTGTGAGTTTTCCTGTTACTCACATGTATTCCATGCCATACTTACCATGCGAGCAGAATGGCCCTGTGTATGCAGAGAAAGTGCAGTCACAAGAGATCCCACTGGGCTTTTCTCTGCATTTCCCTCCATTGAGACATAACTTTCCATAGCTTCTGCAATGTCCCCTACAACCTGGCTCCACTCCTGGAGTCACCTGGGCTCTTTCTTCCAAATCCAGGGCCATCCCATTCAATTGCAGAGACCGAATGCAGCCCAGAAAGCCTCTCTGTCTGGTGGCCGTTCCACCTAAAAGGGAAATACTGCAAATGGAAACATGTTCCTAGGTGTTTTATTCAGGATTTAAAGACCAAACAAAACTGAGGCCTTACAGAAAATAGCAAAAATTGGATGAATAAATATAATTTGGAAAACACAATTTGTGACCAAATATAGACTACAAAAAGATAAAACAGTAATTCAATTTTTTTAAAGTTGAATTTATTACATATTTCTTTTCTGAAAAAGATTAATTCATCTTTAAATTGGAGAGGCTTTTCTCCCCCCCGTCTTTATTTCAAGAAAGAAAATAAAGGCCATATCTTACTTTCATTCCAAATAACAGTGATATATATTGCTATTGTTATGTAGAAACTATTTGTTTCCCAGTTTTAAATAAGCATCTATTGGTGAGGAAGTGGTTTATCCTTCATATTAAAACCTGATTCTGATTCTGGTACAGTTCTAACTTCACAAGAATTATGAAGAGGTCCTTGAGTTCTTCTAACTCGAGCATGCATTGACAGGGTCTTTCAGTTCTTATCCATTCATCAAAAAGATAATTGAGTATCAGGTTATTTATTTTTGTCTGACATATTTCCCAGGGATTTTTTTTTATAAAGATTGGTCCAGTGGTAATTTCTTTATGCTTGGAAAGATCTTCAACAAAATTGGAAAGGGAGACTGATGGAAAAGATAATTGAGTATCAGGTTATTTATTTTTGTCTGACATATTTCCCAGGGATTTTTTTTATAAAGATTGGTCCAGCGGTAATTTCTTTATGCTTGGAAAGATCTTCAACAAAATTGGAAAGGGAGACTGATGAAGAAACAAGTGATGGAATGTTTGTTGAATATATGACCATATGTATTTATAAAATCACTCTTGCAGAGGTCTACAATATTTGAACCTAAGGCACAGGTTCTCCGGCTTTAAGGGATACAAGTATCACAATGGTGGGCTTCTTAAAAATATAGACTCAGTGGCTCACTCCAAGAAATACTGATTTTGTGATCCAAAATACACATGCGAATCTAAACAGTCAATAAGCCTCGCAGGTGATCCTTATTCAGAAGATGATCTAACCATCATTTTAACTGAGGCCTTACAGAAAATAGCAAAAATTGGATGAATAAATATAATTTGGAAAACACAATTTGTGACCAAATATAGACTACAAAAAGATAAAACAGTAATTCAATTTTTTTAAAGTTGAATTTATTACATATTTCTTTTCTGAAAAAGATTAATTCATCTTTAAATTGGAGAGGCTTTTCTCCCCCCCGTCTTTATTTCAAGAAAGAAAATAAAGGCCATATCTTACTTTCATTCCAAATAACAGTGATATATATTGCTATTGTTATGTAGAAACTATTTTTTTCCCAGTTTTAAATAAGCATTTATTGGTGAGGAAGTGGTTTATCCTTCATATTAAAACCTGATTCTGATTCTGGTACAGTTCTAACTTCACAAGAATTATGAAGAGGTCCTTGAGTTCTTCTAACTCGAGCATGCATTGACAGGGTCTTTCAGTTCTTATCCATTCATCAAAAAGATAATTGAGTATCAGGTTATTTATTTTTGTCTGACATATTTCCCAGGGATTTTTTTTATAAAGATTGGTCCAGCGGTAATTTCTTTATGCTTGGAAAGATCTTCAACAAAATTGGAAAGGGAGACTGATGGAGAAACAAGTGATGGAATGTTTGTTGAATATATGACCATATGTATTTATAAAATCACTCTTGCAGAGGTCTACAATATTTGAACCTAAGGCACAGGTTCTCCAGCTTTAAGGGATACAAGTATCACAATGGTGGGCTTCTTAAAAATATAGACTCAGTGGCTCACTCCAAGAAATACTGATTTTGTGGTCCAAAATACGCATGTGAATCTAAACAGTCAATAAGCCTCGCAGGTGATCCTTATTCAGAAGATCATCTAACCATCATTTTGTAAGCACTATCCTGATAGGAATGTCAGCCCCAGGTGGACTTACACATCAATTTGTGGCCAGNAGAAACAAGTGATGGAATGTTTGTTGAATATATGACCATATGTATTTATAAAATCACTCTTGCAGAGGTCTACAATATTTGAACCTAAGGCACAGGTTCTCCAGCTTTAAGGGATACAAGTATCACAATGGTGGGCTTCTTAAAAATATAGACTCAGTGGCTCACTCCAAGAAATACTGATTTTGTGATCCAAAATACACATGCGAATCTAAACAGTCAATAAGCCTCGCAGGTGATCCTTATTCAGAAGATGATCTAACCATCATTTTATAAGCACTATCCTGATAGGAATGTCAGCCCCAGGTGGACTTACACATCAATTTGTGGCCAGGAATACCATGAATTAGTGCTCAGAATTTGAATGTGGAAAATAATATTCTAATCTAAATAATCTGGACAGAATTATTTAGTGGCCCTCTAAAAAGAGAGAGTCACTGGGCCTCTAAAAAAAATTCCATTTTAACAGATGATGCTGTCTCACCATGAGAAGGTTGTACGTAAGTCATTTCTAGAACATGTTCATATCTTCCTCTTCTAACTCATTTAGCTAGCTCCTAATCTAGCCTTAATTACTTAGGATCTTCTCATCTTCAGAGATTAAACAGCTTATTTTTCCCCCTGAGCCAAAAAATGTGCCATAAAGACCCTAAATAAGTAGGTCTTTGTCATCGTCTACCAGGCTTTGCCTTTTACTAATTTACTTTGTATCAGTGTCATTAGAATACACATTCAACAAAGGCTACTTAAATCACTGCTATATATCTCCAGCACATAGAACAGTGCCAGACACNTCAACAAAGGCTACTTAAATCACTGCTATATATCTCCAGCACATAGAACAGTGCCAGACACATAACAGCTGTGCAACAACTATTTCATTCATTCATTAAACCACATTATAGCCTAGAAGTGGAAGATAGAGGATGAGCGCTTCAAGGGTTGAAGAAGGGAACACCTGCCCACAGGGATGTTTGGGTCCCTGAAGCTGAGAATAATGACCAAACTCAATGAAAATTTCTGAATAAATGAATTACATATTTTTGAATAATGAAATACCATGAAGAGGAACCTGAAAGAATTCTAGAGAATTTTGTACTCATGTGCACTATTTAGAATTCAGATTCATAGACATAATGGTCTCTGTCCAAATTGCTATATTTAAATTTTTGTATTCAGATCACTCTGTTCACATAATTTGTGACTCTTCAATGAAGAAGACAGAGATATTAAGGGTGTGCATCATATTTTCTATTTATAAATGCAGAGGTAGCTTGGTGTAGAGTCAGGCATATTCCAGTTTCAGCGTTTGTGGGCATGGCAGGGAAGGAGTTGACTTCATCCCTGAGTTTCAGAACAGCTGGCAATTTTCTTCTTTAATTCCTCCTACATTTACTCAGTCTCCTGCCATTCTTGAAGTCTCTCTTCTCCCCTTATGCTCAGGACTCCTCTCTTTTTCTTTTCTACATCAGAGCTTCCACTCACCTTAGCTTCACATACCCCCTCTTCTCCCATCTGCTAACTCAACTCAGTGAATGCCTTTGGCATCCTTTCTGTTGCTTTCTCTAGGTAAGGCAGCCTGCAGTCTTGGTTTTAGTTTTGGCACAGAAACTTTCTGCAGGGGGCCAGGTGCTATGAAGTCTGGATTAGAGGTTTACTCCTGCCGTATTTCATTTACTTCATGTCATATTACCTCAACTCATTACAGTCTATAAATCACTTTGTTATGCATTTTCTGCTTTGAAATATCTAGTTTCTCTAATTCAGGGGTTTATCTGCCAGTAACAGATAATAGCTAAATAACTTGGGGTCCAACAACTGAATACAGTCCATTTAGTTTATTTTGAATGATGAGGAAGTAGAGGCACAGAGAAATTCAGGGATTGGCCCATGCGTGCAGCTAAGAAAATATTTGAATAAACACATTTATTTAGAGGCAAGGGTAGATCAGAACCCACAAGTAGCCTTTCATTCCAAGGGAGCCCCTTTTTTCCCACACCACAGTATGTTCAGAGAAGAAAACTTCCATTTTCTTCTATACCTCAGATTATCCTTGGTTTCAATAGCATTT